CTAAACAGTCATGAACAGGAGGTCTGGTAACCTTGTCTGGTAAAAGGTAGCTGGATTCAGAGTTTCTGACTTAAGGAATGTTATCCGTGGGGGACCCAGCAGCAATACTTGATATTGCGTGATACACGCATTGGAAATCCATCTGTCAGCTGAAGCATGCAGCAAGGTCTCTACTGCATGGGGGCTAATAATTTGCAAGTCTTGGCCCAGTGTAAGTTTAGAGGCTTCCTTGACTGGGAGGGCAGTGGCTGCTATTGCCCTTAAACAGTTGGGCCACCCAGAAACAACTGGATCTAATCACTTGGACTAATAAGCCAGCAGTCTCCTTCATGGTCCCAAAGTCTGAGTTAAAACTCCTTTGGTTATTCCTTTATTTTCATGCACAAAAAGCAGGAAGGGTTTAGTAACATCAGACAAGGCCAAGGCAGGGGCCTGAGTCAGGGCTCTTTTAAGTTGTTGAAAGGCTTGATCTTCTGATGAACCCCAGAAAAACTCTGTCCCCTCCTTCACTGTGGAGGCATACAGGGGCTTAGCTATTTCTACAAAGCCTGGAATCAAAAGTCTACAATATCCTGCCACCCCCAGGATTCCTGGACTTGCCTTCTATTTCTGGGTGCAGGTATGTCAAGAATAGCCTGAATTTGGTCTGGGCCTAATGACCTCTTCCCTTCATGAATCTGATCCCCCAAATAGGTGACAGAAGGGAGGCATACCTGTGCCTTCTTTGTGGAGACCTTGTATCCCAGTAGGTCTAGTTCCTTTTACAAAGCCTCAGAGGCCAGCTCACAGTCCTCAGGATTATTGGCTGCTAAGATTAGATCATCAACATACTGTAAAAGATTTACCTCTGGGTGAGCTTCCTTATAGTTGGTGAGGTCTCATCTCAATGCCTCATCAAACAATGTAGGAGAGTTTCTGAATCCTTGAGGAAGTCATGTCCAAATAAGCTGTCCGTTGAAAGATCCATCAGGATCAGTCCATTCAAAGGCAAAAATAGGCTGACTCATTACTGCAATTGGTAAGGAGAAGAAGGCATCCTTCAAATCAAACACTGAATAGATTTCAGGCCCCAGTTCACTGAGGAGAGTATAAGGATTAGGTAGAGTAGGATGAATAACTTCAACCCACTTGTTGACCTCCCTCAGGTCCTGGACAGGCCTGAACTCATTAGTCCCAGGCTTTGGTACCGGCAGAAGTGGTGTGTTACATGGAGAGTGGCAGGGAATGAGAATTCCTGCTTCCCGGAGTCTGTTGATATGTTTAGCAATTCCCAACCTGGCTTGAAAGCTGATGGGATATTGTCATATCCTGATTAGGTAGCTGTGCTAAGCAACTGAATTACCAAAGGTGGTTGATGCTTTGCCAGTCCTGGGGGGTTAGTCTCTGCCCATACATTGGGCATCTTAGTTTTCCAAGTTTCTAACAAGGCAGATGAATCCCCTTGTTGCTCCTTCTCATGGGGCTTTTGCTGCAAAAGATACTCCTCAAATAAAGGGCAGGTAATAAGGACAGTGGGAGTTTGGAGGGTTAATCCCACTGAGTCTCCAGTAAAGGTTATATTAACCTTAAGCTTGTGTAAGAGGTCTCTCCCCAACAAGGGGTAGGGGCAATCTGGTATCAAAAGGAAGGAATGAGTCACAGTTCCTTTGGCCAGGTTGGTTATTCCAGCTCTGGTTTGAGGATAAGACTGGTACTTTCCAGTAGCTCCTTGAATTGTCAGTTTCTTGTCCTCAGGAGTGCCTAAAGGCTCCTTTAACACTGAAATGGCAGCCCCAGCGTCTACCATAAATCAGGTAGGCTTCCCTTCTACCTGTAGAGTGACCCTTGGTTCCTGGGGATTAAGGGAAAAACCAAGGTCACATCATGCCTCCTTAATAGCCAAAGCAGCCTCTTTTCCTTTACGGTTTGGGTATTTGCTCTTCCAGTGGCCTTCCTCTTTGCATTATGCGCACTGATTCCATCTAAGTCTAAGTCTGTCAAATCCACCCTTTGTGGCTTACAAAGGTCCCTCCTGTTCCTCTGAAGCTGCCTAATGTCCCTCCCTAATGAATTTACTAACACCTTCCTGTCTCTTTTACTTGCTCTTGAGAGAGGGAGTCTTAGTTAATATAGACTCTCTGGGCTATCTCCATTAACTCAGATATTAATTTCCCTTCGAAACCTTCAAGTTTTTTCAACTTTTTCCTAATGTCTGGGGCCTATTGAGAAACGAAGGCAATGTTTAAGGTTCTTTGATTCTCAGGTGCCTCAGGATCAATAGGAGTATAGAGGCAATAGGCTTGATAAAGCCTCTCGAGAAAAGCAGCTGGAGACTCATCTGACTCCTGTACCATTTGACTGACCTTGGATAGGTTTGTGGGCTTCCAAGCTGCTGCTCTCAGTCCCTGTAACAGAGTCTGACAGTACCTGGTAAGGTGATCCCACCCCTCAGGGGTGTTGGGGTTCCAGGGTGGTTGGGCTGATGGAAAGACCACTTTGACAACCACCTGGTCCTGTGATGGGAGGCCGTCTGCCCCCAGGACAGAATGGGCAGCCTCCCGTAGGACTCTGGTTTGTTCTTCAGAAGTAAAGAGTACCTGAAAAAGCTGATGACAGTCTTCCCAGGTGGGACAATGAGTTATAAAAATAGAACTAAGTAAATCAATAAGTTTGGAGGGATCCTCTGAAAAGGGAGGATTCTGAGACTTCCAATTATAAAGATCTGTAGTGGAGAAAGGTGCACAAACAAACATGGATTGGCCTCCTTCACCATCCTGTCCACGTGTTGGAGTGATCTCTTGTAGGGGCAAGAGGACAGGCGGAGTCAAAGAAGTGGAAACTCCAGCCTGAGGATGAGAGTCTCCATATCTGATCCCCATCCGAGTGTGGGAAGGGCTTTGCATATCACCATCTAAAGGGGAACCATCCTCAACACTATCATCAGTGGCTTCTGCCTGCGGTGGGGGTTGTGGGACCTGAGGAATATAAGGAGGGGGGTCTAGGGGATCCTCAGTCTCCCGAAGAACAGGATACAGCTTCTTATGCTTAGAAACAGGGAAGAGAGCAGGGGGAGCTGCAGGAAGAGGTGGAGGAATCTTCTTTAACTGAGGAACCTGTAGACATTGTTTAAGCCATTGTGGGGGGCGGGTCATTAAGTAAATCAACCCAAGTAACTATGTATGGGATTTGATCAGGATGAAGCTGGGTACAAATCCTGTGAACAGAAATTGCAGTAGTTAAATCATAAGTTCCTTCAGGGGGGCAATCGGTTTCATTAAAAGTAGGCTACTCTAGTTCACACAGGGTCTGGAGCCTGGGGACTTTGACTCAAAAGCCATATCCTCCTGCTCTTTTCCTGAAATCAGAGAAATTAGTCAACATACATTCCAACAGGGTAGCACTCTTGGACTCAGTCTGACCCATGACAAAAACAGACACCAATCCAAAACACAGAATAAGACAAGCACAGACAAATAACACTAACCAGATTGCCACCAAGTCTAAGTTGTAGGAAAATGACGGGACTTCAGACTTGGTAGCCAGGCAGGTCCAGGGGTGTCCTCTCCAGTACCCGACTAGGGGGAGATTTGCTGCATCCAGCTTTCCCACCTAGTTTTCCTCTGATCAGAGCCCAGAACCAGATGGTGACAAGTTGCTGGCTAGCCAAAATCAGCAGAGAAACTGAAACGAAAGTGGTTTCTCCAGTGCGCTCTTACCTTGCTAGTGGTGTGGAAGGAGAAATTGGAGGGCTGGGGAAACAGGAGTGGTTGGGACTGAAAGGCATGTCCCTGGCAAGGCCCTCCAGGATCTCGGTGGAACCTCCAAATGTTGTATACTGGAGTTTGAAGAATCATCAACACCACTTAAGTAAAAGCAGCAAGGTAAATTTTATTATGTTGATTGGCCAGGCTATCTCGGGAGTAGAAGCAGCTCTGAGCATTAATTGATCAGAGTTTTTATAGGGTTACAGAAAATATTGTATAAGCAAAATATCTGTGCACCAATCAGGTTTGTACAACATAGCAAGATTCTAATTTTAGTGATCAACAACTAATCATTATACAGATAAGTGATGTAGTCACATAACTTGGCATTCAACTTTGTAGCCTTAAAATTAGCCAACTGTCCTAGCCATAACAAGTACAATAAGAAAGCCAAAGTCAACAACTTGCAGGTGGTCATACAATAACAGGATAATGAGGGTGGTCTTATGTTTTGTGTCAAGGTGACCTAAAATAGCAAGCAAGTTACAGGAGCGAAAACAAGCAGTTAGCCAGATGTAAAATGTCTGGAATTAACACATTCCATGGAGGTTGCCCCCTTTTCCTTTTGGTGTGGGGCAAAGTTACTGTAAAAATAGCTCTGAACAAAATGGAGTAACTTAAGTTAGTTTGGTGAGCCAATTCATTTACTTCTCCTTCACATCTCCCATTCATGATTCAAGGACTTTCTTCTCCCCTTAGAGACAAAAGTTATGCAATTTGGGAGTCTTTTAGGTAGACCAACTGAAGGGGTACTCCAATTGCCTCACCCTGCATCCCTGTTCAGCATGGAAGAATCCAGAGTAGTCAGTGTCCCTATTCCCTATTGGCAATTTGGGTAACCCCTTCAGAGGATGGTGTGATAAGACTAGGAGGTAGGAATTGGCTAGGCAGTTAGGATAAAAAGACCCTAAAAAATGTAGCCATTTTCTTGGCTAAAAGTCAAATGTCCTTGGGCCTGTTAGCAACATACTCTGTTCCAAGGCCAAAAACTGTTAAAAGTATTTGGGAGCTTGTAACTAATCCTTAAAAGAGTTTAGGGTTACCTCTTCAGAGGGGGGAATGTTGGAGAGGAGGGAGTGGGCATGGATTTGATCAAAATGCCTATGTGCATGTATGAAATTCTCAATAGTTTTTGTAAAAATTAAAAAAAAAGATTACATAGTTAGCCAAGTGTGGTGGTGCATACCTTCAATCTCAGTACTTGGAGGCAGAGGTGGGTGGATCTCTCTGAGTTCAAAGCCAGCCTGGTCTACATAGTGAGTTCTGGGGCCAGCTGAGACTACAGGGAGATCCTGTCTCAAAACAAAACAAAAGATTATATAGTTAAAGGCAGAGCTTCTCAATATCAAGACAGAAGTTCCTCCCAAGCTTTGGTGTCCTCCCCTAACAAAGGTGGGCACTCTGAGAGGACAGGAAAGCCTGACCCTTCTTCAAGAAAGGCAAGAAAGGAAAGAGGGGGAGGTACAGGCAAAGGTCCACTCCTTTTCCCTTTACTCTCAGTGGACTTCTTTTCTGTACTCCTAGTAATCTGATAAATCATAGGTTTGTGCCAACTATGTTACCAAACAACCATAACTAAAGTTCACTGACTGGTGAAGACTTATAAGCACACTATTAGTGCCCAACAGGGAATCAAAACTATGAGCGTCTCTCTGTGTTGACTTTTGTAACCGGGAAAAGTCTATTTTGAGGCCCCTGGATGCTATGCCAACAAGATTATTACAAGAGATTCTGACCCTTGGGATGTGAGGTTTGTAAAGAAGGCAGGTCCTGTGCCCACTCAGTGTGACTCTTTTTTCATGTTACTTCAGTGCTATTACCTAGGGCTAAAGAAAATAGCTGTATGGGCACAGCCAGAGTCCTACAGCAAGAAGGATTTGATGTTGCCCTGGTAGAAGCCATGCTCCTATCTTATATCCTGCTGAGCAGATTCATGCCAAATATGGTCCATCTTAGTTTTATGCGTATGAAGGTTTAGTTGAGCCTAACACCAACCCCTGGTGGGCACTCTAGATGTTGAGGTTAAACTGGGCTGGTTCCGTGTCATGCTGTAGTAAAACAAATCAAGGCACACCTTACCACCTCCATGAGAGGTGAGCTTTTAAAGCAATGTTTATACATTCCATGATACTTTATTTGTGATGGAGCACAGTCATATGCTAAAAGGATATGCAAAACAACAACAACAAAAAAAACCCAAAAAACCCTAGAGTCTATTTTCTGAATCACAAGGGTCCAATGGCTATAAAATTAACTCAAACTTTCTAATAATCTCAGCAATAGGTGCCCTAATGTAGACAAGATGCTCTAAGTTCTTTGGAAGAGCTTCATTTTTTAAATGACACACACACCACTCACTTTATGCTCATTAGAGTAGCACACAAAGCTTATGATGTTCCTGCGTTTTTTTCTGGATGGAAAGTCAAATTCATCTAGCTTTTTTCCTCACTTTGAGCTTCCTCTGCCTTCGGCTTGTCAGAACCCGAAGCCTCGTTTTCCTGTTGCTCTGTGGCATTCTGCTGGACCATAGCTTCTGTGTGGCTGTGGATGATCTGATGGGCTGCAAGAATGTGCTTCCGCTGTGCATTTCTCACTGTGCCAAACCAACAGAAGAGTTTTACTTTGAAAATCTGCATGAAACTGCCCCCAAATGTTTTCAAGATCATAGCGAGAAAAATATTAATTTAAAAAAACACATCATATCTGTTTAGGTAGGGCTGATTGTATTAAATTAAAGAAGGCCTACTGTCTGTTTTGGAAGGACATCTTTTTAAAACTTTTTATTGAATTTTCATGTATTTTATACAGAAAATCATCTTTATACCCTCTTCCCCTTTGGCTCCCTCCCATATACGTCCCCTACACACACTGGAGATCATACATTCTGTCATTTGTGTTAAGGTCTAGCATGTAAAGTTATTGTCCTGAGATATCCCTCAGTACAAGTTCATCAATTGGGATCTAGTCAGTTTATCTACAGTCCCCCCCTTTAAGATCAGCTCATTTTCACCCAGCAGTAATCAGCTGCCAATAATTCTTTGACTAAGATTGGGACTTGCTGTTCATTTCCACAGCTCTGGGCTGGGTTTTTGTCCACTTAAGTTTGCATGGATCTTGTGTATTGTTGACATCATTGCTGTAGGTTTGTATGAGAAGAGTCCCAGGAGCCTGTAGGACTCTGTTTCCATATGGTCTGGCACCTCCTCCCTGGATCTTACAATATTTCTGCCCCCTCTTCTGCAATGGTCCCTGAGCCCTGGGTGGGTGGGTTTTAATATAGGCATCCTGTCCAAGGACCCACACTCTGCAGACTCTTAGTCTCTGTGTTTTGGCCATTTGTGACCTTTTGCATTCCTGGCCCTCTGTTGCATGAGGGAGCTTCATTGATAAGAACTGAAAGATGCAAAAGTGTTCTCTTCATCCCTTGTTCTATGTTCCGTGAGTCTTAGGTGGAGAGGTTGCATCCTAGATGTGCCACTTAGGCTTGGGCAATTCACAGACAATATCTGTGTGTGACCAGTTGTGGAACTCTGTATCTCTGTCTCTTGAAAAAGAGCTTCTTTGATGGGTGGTGACTGGGATACTTGTCTGTAGATTTAAGGATTCATATTACATTTGTCTAGGGATGTGATAGCCTTGGAGTTTTTTTCTAAGATTTATGACCTCTCCAGCTATTTGTATTTGGCTAGGTTTACAGTACCAGACACGAGTTTCTTCCCACTGAGTGGGCTTTAAGTCCAATTAGGTAGCTATTGATTAATCCCAAGATAAAAGTGCCATTACTTCACCAATGTCATTTGCTGTGCTGGTCACTGATGTGGTTTTAGGCCTTGAAGCTGGTGTTGGGCCATTGATTGATGTTCTCCCTTTAATGTGTGGTGCTCTCAAAAGCTATGAGAGCTAGCCTTCAGGGGAGGTGGCTTCCAGGTCAGTTGTCCCAGCTCCATTGCTCCAAATCCTGTGTCCAAAGTATGTACTGTCTTCAGCAATAGGGTCTTACCATCAAGTTCTTGGAGGCAATCAAGGGCTGTGGCAATAGCCAGTATAATTTTGGGAGTCTCTTAGACTACCTTGGCCAACAACTCAAAGGAAGGTTTCTCCTGTCTGGCACCGTTTCTTATTATGTAGCCTTCAGCTATACTCACGGACTCATGTAGAGATAGTGTATGTGTAATTTTTCAGTAGGTTTTTGGACTAATACCATTCCCTCAGTTTTTTTTTATACTAACTAGGCACTATTTATCTCTCTTCTTTCTCTCCCTGTCAGAAGGATATCTTCTAAAAGTAAACCAGACCTGACTTCAAAGCGTTCCCCCAAAAGGCTCCTGTGATAAAAGCTTGGCCACCAGCTGTGGTACTATTGATTGAATCATGAGGGGGCTAACTTCACCAATGAATTAGTCCATCGGTGAACTGGAGTTAAATAACTATCAAATGGTGGAGGAAGTGGTCTTGGGGGAGTGAGTGCCTTGGGGGATATATCTTGTCCCCCGTCCTGTACCATTCCTCTCTCTCACTCTCTCTCTCTGATTCCTGCCTCTATGAGATAAGCAACTTTGCTCCACCACACTTTTCTGTCCCTGTTCTGTATCACCAAGGTCCAGAAACAGTAAACCTTGCTGAGCATGGGTGGAAACCTATAAAACCATGAGCCAAAATAATCTCTTCAAGTTGTTTTTCTGGAGTATTTTGCCATAGGAATGAAAAGTGATTAGCACAAAAGTCATACCTTGCTTCTTGTTGCTCTGTGTGTTCATAGGCTTTGGGTTAGTCTAGTGTTCCCCTCCCCTCAGGCTTGCCTCAGTTCCTGCCTTCAGTAGCCTGCCTCCCCTGGAACACCTGTACTCCATGTCTTGCCTTTTAGAAAGACAACCTCAAGTCCCAACTTCTCCAGCTCTAAGTAAATGTGCTGGATAGTTTTAGTGTCAACTTGACACACCTGGGTTGAAGGACCCTCAATTGGGGAATTCCCTCCATTAGACTGGCCAATGGCCATGTCCATGGGGGAATTTTCTTGATATTGAGTGATATGGGAGGGCCCAGCCCAATGTGGTAGTGCCACTCCTGGGCAGGTGGGCCTATGTTGTATAAGAAAGCAGTATTCCTCCATGGCCTGTGCTCCAGCTCCTGCCTCCAGGTTCCTACTTTGGACTCCCTAATGAACTGTGACCTGGGAGATGTAAGCCAAATAAACCCTTTCCTCCCCAAGTTGGTATTGGTCAGAGTGTTTTGTCATAGCAATGAAGACACAAACTAGAACAGTAAGTCAACCCACAGTTTCCATTCAACATGCTTGCATCTATCTGTACCAATCCAAGCAGCACCAAAGTATTTGATACAAGTTACATTTTGTTTTCTACTGACCTTATTAGTAATTCTAAATAACCAATTAGTTATTAAAATTAGTTAACTAATCATAATTACTTAGCCTCTTATCTTTCATCTTTGAGCTTTAGTTCCTAATATGGAGGGTATTGATAATATGGAGGGATTGATGATGAGTTTCTGATCTCTTGGGCTCAGAGATGGTTCTAGCTCCAAATTCCATGAACACATATTACCAAGTTTTCATACAGACAGTAGCAAAGGTCAAAGCCCTTGGAAAGGAGAGGTGTTGATACTGATAATGATGGTGACGTCATCCATTAACATTTTCCCTTACTTTATGTCAGACATTGTTTTAAGCAGTTGACATGTAATTATTTGTTTATTTCTCCCACAATTCTAAAAGAATATTATTAATATCTATATCATCTAATTAATGTCCATATGCAGAGGGAAATGAATATAAAATATAAATAAACATACAATAAATTGAGGGCTTACCCAACTTGCTCACAGACAATTCCCTCTGGATTCCTTACATTCAAGTTCTTCCTCCAACTCTCCCCCAAGGAACCATTAGATAGAATTGGGGAGGGATCTTAAACTAGTAAATATTCAACCCACTATTTCTCCCATCTCTTTCAATTCATTCAGGAAGGATGACTTTGGGCCTGGGAGAAGTAGAAAGGAACTGATATTTTCTTAAGGATCTAGAAAACATGAAGTCCCTTTTGCATTCTAATACATGTTATTTGGTCTGAAAATTAAACTTCGTTGGTATGTGCACTATTATGCACTGAAGGTGGGAGCAAAATTGTGTGTGTGTGTGTGTGTGTGTGTGTGTGTGTGTGTGTGTGCAGCATTTAGGCAGAGTCTATCAAAACGTAAAATGCACACATCCTAGTTGCCAATATTTATGTTGCTGGGAATTACTCTCAGAAGGGTGCCCAGGGTGTATATAAATTTACTGATTACAGCACTGATGAAAAGAGAAAAAGACACTGGAAAGAGACTAATAGTAATCACTAGCAGGTACTAGTTTAAAAATTATACAATCATGCTGGATGTGTTAGTACACGCCTTTAGTCCCAGCACTCTGGAGGCAGAGGTAGGCAGATCTCTGTGAGTTCAAGGCTAGCCTAGTCTCCATAGTGAATCCAAGCCAGCTGTGTCTACAGAGAGACCCTGTCTCAAAAAGGTCAAAAAAAATTTATACAGTCATGTACTGGGAAAATATGGAAGCTCTCTGACCTAAGCCTGCATGTGTATAAATGCACCTATGTTGTGCAAGGCCCACAGAGGTCAGAAGAGGGCATTGTATCCCCTGGAACTGGAGTTATAGGTTGCTAGCAGCTATGTGTGTCCTGGGACTCGAATCCATGTCCTCTATGAGAGTAGCCAGTACTCTTAACCACTGAGTCATCTCTTCATCACCAGTCCTTTATTCTTGATGAAGCAAATAGTTCCCTCTTCTGCTAAAACCTATCAGAAGTTCTCTGCAAGCTGAAGGCCTCTGCATAGTTGATTCACAGAAATGTTGATCCTGTCCTGATGGCAAATTTCCTCAGCAGTTTCAAAGCTCTTGAAGAATCTTCTTTTTTTTCTTCTTAATGTTTAATTACATTTTAGTGCATGCATGTGTGCCTGCATATCTCTCTCTCTCTCTCTCTCTCTCTCTCTCTCTCACACACACACACACTCAGAGGACAAGTTGCATGAGTTGGTCCTCCCCTTTCATCACATAGGTGTCGGGTATGGAGCTCAGGTTGTCAGGTGTGGTGGCAGGCCCCTTTACCCACTGAGCCATCTCATCATCTCATTTTCCCGTTTTAAAACGTGTTCTTCTTGGGTTGGGGAGATGGGTCAGCAGTTAAGAATACTGGCTGCTCTTTCAGAGAACCCTGGTTCAGTTTCCAGCACCCACATGGAGGCTAACAACCATCTGTAACTTCCGTTCCAGGGGATCCAACACCCTTGTCTAGCTTCTGCAGGCATTGCACAACACAGGTACATTTATACAGACAGGCAAAACACCCATACTCATAAAAATAAAGAAAAGACATATTCTTTTCTACTTCTCTGTTGACTAATCTTTATGAACGTGCCATTTTTGACAAATGACAAATTGGGGTATTTATACTTAGATACAGTCCCAGCAGAAACACAATATTAGTGGCTCAGTAGAGTAGCAGAACACACTTAGGCCCTTTGGGAATCCCTGATTTTCAACGTCCAGGATTCACGTGCACTGCTGCAGTATGAACCTTAGAATGCCCCTCACCTGGGGACCTAAGAGCATCCCTTCAAGGAAGAGTGCATCTGGATATTTTGACAGCCTTGCTAGAACTGATCCCGACTCTGCTAGCAGTGGTAGATTCTGCAACCAGAGAGCAGAAAGAAAGCTGGACAAGCTCTGACAGAGGAGATCCCAGTGCTTCTCCCTCAGGAAGTTCCCCATACCTTTGGCTAGGGTTACACCTTAAGTTTTTAAAAATAATTTATAGCAGCTTACCTTTTTCTTTGACAATGTTTTTTTTTACCTCTGGGATGAGAAAACTGTAAACCAACTCAGCAACAATCTCCTCTGACTGAAGATGTGTTCGACTAAAGAATATAAATAAATACAAACACTATTTCCCTGTTTCTTTGCTTGAGCTGTTGATACACATTTAGACCTTCCTTGCTTGTAAGCAACTCCTAAACATTATCATTGCCTTTTCCTTGACCATATGATCTGAAATAGCACACTTTTCAAGAATTGGTTTTACTCTATAGAAAATTAGGATTTGACTCTATCTAGCCTGCAAAAAGGGAATGTTAAAAAAATTCAGCATAGGGGCTGGAGAGATGGCTCAGCCATTAAGAACACTGGTTGCTCTTGCAAAGGACCAGAATTTGCTTCCCAGCACCCACATGACAGCTGACTCCAGTTCCAGAGGATTTGATGTCTTCTTCTGGTCTCTGCAGGCATTGTGTGCATGAATGCACTTAAAATATAAAAAAATAAGAAACTGTTCCTGGGTGTGGTGGCCCACACCCTTAATCCCAGCACTCCGGAGGCAGAGGTAGGTGGATCTCTGTGAGTTCAAGGCCAGCTTGGTCTACGTAGCAAGTTCCAGGCCAGCTGGTGCTAGCTACAGGGAGACCTTGTCTCAAAAGGACCAGAAGATAGATAGATAAATAAATAAATAAATAAATAAATAAATAAATAAATAAAAGTATTTTAAAAGTCAGCATATTCTTGGAAGCCAAAAGACTTGGAATTGAGTCCAAATAACATTGCACATACATTTCCACTTTGCTTTCATGTTCTAAGTATTCTAATAGTACAGTGTGTGAAAATAATCCAGAGTGTGGAAGAAAACTAAGAATTCAGTTCCCCATGCACCTACCAACAGAAGTATGGGCACGTTAACTTCCAATGAATTTTGGTAGTAAAAGAATGGACATCCAAGAGTGAATTATATTATATTATATATTGCTAGTGAGATCTTAAGCTCCTGAAAAATCACATCTGATTAATGACAAATAGGCCGACAACCATCCCCTAGTCTGTTCTCGTGATGCATACCGGTTTTCCAATTCATAAACAACGTTGTTGATGTCCTCAGCAATCTTCTCAATTTCTGCTCTGGCCTGCTCTTCTGCGGTACTCTCTTCAGTATTCAGGATTATGTCTTCCAGATAAGAGGTTACAGTACTTTGGTGAACTTTAATCACCTACAAAAATAAAAACCAATGTGACTTTAAGAATATCTATTGTAAGCAAGACAAAAAAACCCCCACAAACAGTGGTTGATAATTTTGTCATTCATATATTTCTTTCATTAAGTCAACAGAGCTGTCTGTTTCTCATCCACCTACTTGTGTTTTCTGGTCAGCACACACCCATTTATCCTGTCTTAGAACTAGTACTTACTCTGGGCAGGTAAAAGGGATTGCAGAAAGATCACAGCTTCAGATCAATGATCTGGTTTGGATCTTGGCTGTCCTTATCAGCAGTGTGACTTGGCCAACCTATCTAACTGCATCACAGGAGGTATTTCCCAGTGTCCTTTCTGTCTTTTACCTAAAATAACCAATGCCTGAATTTTAGCTAGAAAAATAAGTGCCCAAAGACTACATTTCCTAAATCCCACTGCATCTGGATATGGCCATACAACCAAGTTCCAACCACAGGAAAGCATGCAGGCATGACACATGCATCTTCCAGAAAAAGGTTCCTTTTTTTAAAAAAAAAAATTATTATTTTAATTTTATGTGTTGCATGTATTGCTTGCATGTAGGTAAGTGCAGCTGTGTTGTGCAACGCCCGTGGAGGACAGAAGAGGCTGTCAGATCCCCTGGAGCTGGAGTTACGGACAGTTGTTAGCTGCCATGTGGGTGCTGGGATTGGAACCCGGGTCTTCTGCAAGAACAGCCAGTGTTCTTAACTGCTGAGCCATCTCTACAGCCCCAGAAAAAGGTTCTTAGAGGGATTTTTTTCCTTTTAATTTCTTATTTCATGGGCACGAACCCCTGGAACAATAGCCGTCACCTTGGATTTCTGCAAGAATTGTATCTTAGAGGCTACAGAGCAGAAGGCTAGAAGGATCCCGGGTCACTGGGGGATTTATTAACAGCCTGAATTTCTTTTTAAAGATTTCTTGAAATCATGACACAGAATACAGAGGGTTTTTTTTTTTTTTTGAAGTGCAGAGCACATAAATAAAGGTATGGTAGAAAGAGTTAGGGTAAAACAAGACTCCACTTAGTCCTCGCTAGCACCTGAGGCCACTGGGTCCCTTCTGACCAGTCTATTTCCACTCGGATGATGGTCCTGGTGTGCTTCCTTTGCTTTAGAATCTTGCTCCCTACCCATGTGATCTCACACAGTACTAGTTAGCTTTGCTTGTCTGACAGATGTATACACAGGAACTATCATGAGCATCAACTATGATGCATTAACTGTGTATGTATGTATTCTATATATGTATGTATGTATGTATGTGTACATGTGTATTTGTCTCTTCAATAAATCATGAGTCTCTTAGGGGC